CAAAAATTGTATATATATAAATGGAAATATGATTAATTGATGTTTGGTGCCAAGACGTCGGAGTTGTAAAAATGCGCCAAATCTAAAAACAGTATCCGAGTCGAGAGAATTTAAAAGCTATAACAATGATTATACCAAGTTCGAATGCTTTATAATTAAAACTTAATTGGTGATATAGAGTCAACAGAAATTTCTATAAATTGATAAATCATTTTCTCTTATAAAGAAATCTGTAGATAGGATTAATTTCGTTTTTTTAAACTTTGTAATAATACTAATTCTGTAAGAGACTATAGGCTTATCCAGTAATAAGAATTGATGTCGATTTTGCAAACTTCCCTTTAACTCCTCCGTAACTCTCCTGTCGTCCGCGAGTCGTGATCAATATATCTGATATGTAACTATAAGCAGCCTTGGACCACCCCGTAGATTTCAGATAGTCCCCTGTATGTACAGGTTAAATCGTTAACTAGATAGTGCACATCGGTGTGTATAAGGAACGACTGGGGTGGAACAACGACCATTGTTTCGGGGTCATCTAGATATGTCACGGACGAAACGACAAGGAGCACTGGTTCGAATCATGGTTAGTCTACAGTTCTGTTCAATTCTATTCTCATAATTGTAAAAAAGAAATCGATTCAATACGATTATTTGTCATTTTGTTCACAATCTGATTTAAGTAATTATTTTTTATTCGTTTTACTTCAAAATTTATTTTTTTAAATATATATTAAAACTATATCCTGATTATTATATTAAGCTTAAAAATATGATACTATATCACTGGCTATTTGGCAAGGCACAGATATATTACAGAACGCCTTTGTTAAAGATTTCCCATAACACTATGATCCCAGTGTTGTATACATGTGGGAAGTGGACAATTGTGATCAAACCGTGAGAGCATATATCTGGATTTAATGCATTGACACTGAAAGTGTGAGTATATTTAAACTCGTGATATAGATATGTCTGACAAGTATCAAAGCATTTAAAGATCAGCCTCTGCTGGCAGAAGTTAGTGTGACTAATGTGTTACAAGCGGGATATCGATATCATCAGTTAAATACGGATCATATTCACAAAGGTAATTGATTTAAATGGCCATGTTATAAAAGCTATTTAATGTTATCTCGCTCTATATACAATCCTATGATATATACCTAAATGTAGCTGCTAATTGTTATTAATTAATCAATTAATTTTACGACGATAACTGATGATAGTGTGATAAATATATTTATATACGGGAGAGTGCTGTGGACCATCTGATAATTTCTTTATATTGAAATAGTATTATTGTCAATGAATAAAACAGAAGCAAATGTTGAACTGTACAGTGTTACTCCACCGAGAAAAAAACTGTGCAATGTAAATCCACATAGATTGAACTGTACAATGTCAATCCATCTCGACTGAACTGTACAATGTCAATCCAACCCGACTGAACTGTACAATGTCAATCCAACCCGACTGAACTGTACAATGTCAATCCATCCCGACTGAACTGTACAATGTCAATCCATCCCGACTGAACTGTACAATGTCAATCCATCCCGACTGAACTGTACAATGTCAATCCATCCCGACTGAACAGTACAATGTCAATATATCCCGACTGAACTGTATAATGTCAATCCATCCCGACTGAACTGTACAATGTCAATCAACAGAGATTGAATTGTACAATGTCAATCCATCGAGTTTGAACTGTACTAAGTCAGTGCATGAAGACTGATCTGTGGAATGTCAATTCATCCAGATTGAACTGTACAATGTCAATCCAACCCGACTGAACTGTACAATGTCAATGCAACCCGACTGAACTGTTCAATGTCAATCAACAGAGATTGAACTGTACAATGTCAATCAACAGAGATTGAACTGTACAATGTCAATCCATCTCGACTGAACTGTACAATGTCAATCCATCCCGACTGAACTGCACAATGTCAATCCATCCCGACTGAACTGTACAATGTCAATCCATCGAGTTTGAACTGTACTATGTCAGTGCATGAAGACTGATCTGTGGAATGTCAATTCATCCAGATTGAACTGTACAATGTCCATCTATCGAGATTGAGTTGCACAACGTCAATCCATCGAGAATGCTAAATGATTTATGATGGTTAATTTACAAACAGATGTTTAAAAAAATCCATGGTATTAGATAACACTCATGGGTTTTAATTGGTTTGTCGTCCAAGAAAGTTACTATGAGAATGATACCAAATTGAAACACTGGAAAATTTATCTTTTTACGTCTTATAAATTGCACGAAGAGGATAATATTGCAAACAGGCTCCCGTTATTTTTGTTGCTATGTATGCTACAAAAAGGGAAAAGAAAAAAAAAAGAAAATGAAAATTAATTTTAATTTTCATTTTTTTAAAGCTGGACCTGAATCGTGCAGTTAAACCGACTAAATATTTAATACTGTCCTGTTCTTTCAATGGACGCCATACTATTTTAATATATTAAGGTGTGCAATTACTTGTAATACGGATTTGAGCCAATTATTATAGATGTTGTGTAATTGCCAACACATATAACCTACCGGAAGTGTATACTATCAAATAGAAGCCATTCTGTATATACCTGTGTTAATCTGACTAATATACACGTAATTATCACCAATACATAGTGCAATGAGATGTGATGATTAGGCTACCTTTATGGAACTTTTTATATACTTAATAACATAATGAGGACGGAATTCTGTTAATTTGTTTTTTATCAACATAAAGGGACTTTGTTCATGTCTATAACACTTAATTATCACCTTGAATAAAATCCCTTTATTGTTGTGTGACCTATCACCACTGAACTGAATTTTAGGTTTATTTATTCCAATATTGCTGTTGTTTATTTATTGATAGCAGCATCAGTGATTCATTATGAAAGGACTTAATTCAATAACACAGTCTGTGTCATAGATGTCGACTGCTGACGAGAAAACAAGGGTTCAGAGATATAGATGGGAAAGTTTAGGTGCCGTCTTTTTCTGTAATCTATTTAGTGCATAGCTATTAAATGCTTCTTACTACGTTTACCTGATCCACTGTAATTATTGTTGGTTGCAGTTTGTGATCGTTTCGTCACTTTACTCTTATAATGTTTGGCCGATAGTTTTCAAAGATTTCTTCATTGAAATATGTATTTCGTCAATAACTTGCTCTCGTTTATCGCGTTTTGTAGTTGAGATTTAGGTTAGTTCGTTGCAATTTCATTAACCCTGTCTTTGACATTTGTCTGGAGGGCAAAAATTAAAGTAATTTATGATTTTCAATGATTTTTTTTTCTAAAGACATCCTGAAAACATGACATTGACCAAAATAAGACTCATTACATAATTAAATTTTTGACGTTAATCAAAATGTATTTAAAATAAGTAAACAAAGAAAAAACAAAAAATACTTTCTATGTGACAGGATTGTTAGAATAACACATAAGTGAACGTCATCATTTAATTAATCTTCAGAAATAGACACTGTAGAGTCTAGTGAAGTATTAAGCTAATTTATAAAAGATGTCCGGTCCTTCTCGGACACCACAATTATTTTTAGAAGACGAGACCAAAAGGAAAAACTCAACGATTCGAAATGATTTATTTTCAATACTGTAAATCATTTGGATTTCACGAATTCTTCATTTCGCGAAGTTCCCTGTTTAGACATATTTGTAAATACATGACTCACGAACGCTGATTTAGAAGTTACTAGAAATTTGCGAATTACGAACTGTAAGAGACTAGGACTCTTCAAGACATTGATATCGGTAAGCAGATCAACATGAATGCCATCCAGATTTATTTTCGGACAAATAATAGCTTTAAATTTGAATTCGCGATTGACTCTCTGCGTGTATTAACGCGAAAATAAATCTCACGCGAAATTTAAGTGATTCGCAGTGGGTATGAGCGTGTTCTTTATTCAGATCCAAATTTGTTTTTGAAGTTTAGTATATATCTTAATGTAACGATATACCTGTATATACCAGACGGGTTCCTGTTGATAGATAAAGGAATATATACAAAATGTATTGGCATCACCACTCTTATCATGAATTCCATGAATTAGTATGGTATAATGCATTAAATTCCTGGCGTAATTTCTTTATATTAAAATACATTTCTTGACTTTCTATGCCTCACACCGATCGCGTTAGACAAGAACATATTTTTGGCCCTGTATTTCTATTAAACTTTTTATATCTCTAATGACGTACAAACGATATATGTTTTACTTATATGACCCTGCTACTGTACTACTACACGACCTATGCCTACGTATATAGATGTTATTGTTCTCAATTTACCGGCACAAGACCAATTTAGCTCAATTACCATTTTTGCTGTACGTAATTATCATGATCGGTAGAGGTTATTGTAAGTTTATGCGAGATAATGAATGCCTGTTTATAGACATATAACCCGTTGCTGACTATTAATGCTTTATCTAAATCTCAGTAAATCTTAAAGCGTGCTGTATTTAACACAACACTCCACTCGGATCACGGTATTTCTGTAGAAGCTTTCTCGTACCGATACCATTATAATCACACTGTTGAGTTGGATTTGATCACAAGCGGGCACTTATGAAAATCTATATTCAATACCTGGCATGTTTCCATATTCCAAAAATAATAGGTTTTCTTACATTTCTGTGCCGATGATTTTGTAGGCTGTGATTAAGACTTGCTATCAGACTTGCTTACTGAGGTGACAGAGGCTATAAGGAATTATCCATGGAAAAATAGTGTGTTTTTCATAATGATGCCTTGTTCATTTGACATAAAAACAGCTTCTCCGATCGAATTTATATAATCTTAGCTCTGAAGATATTGTTATTGTAAGTAATATCATGGCATTCACGTGATCCGGACATAGGATGTGCAAGGATATCCTTACTTAAACATGTGATGATTTCTTAACAATTATTCTGCCTTTGGAAGCGGGAACTTGAATTAGCACAAAACGTACCTACAACACAAATATGGAAGTGTTATCCTTAAATACAGGTATGTTACAGGTAGTCTTGTTACTTCAAAGGAACCGACATTTTGTTTACGTTTGAAAATGCCCAAAATGGGACAAAGATTTTTTTCTATATGATAATATGATTATTGTTATGCTTGTAACAAAGCGTTTAGTCAACATGTAAAATACATAACCACAACAATGATACTGTATTTCATTTAAACCATAAAAAAAAATCAACATTGTTGTACAGAGAAATACGAACAGAGTACCGTTATTTAAACGATAATTTGTCAGCTGACCTGGACGTTAACGTCCTCTATAAAATGAGGCCACCCTCTTTGTAACAAGAGACTGGACAATGGGATTGCATGATAATTGAGATTTACAACAAATTACTTCTTTATATGCTGCCTAAGTAAGTGATAATGAAATAACTAGATAGGGTGACATGCTGTTTTTTTTTTCACTCTTTTGTAATTCAAATAACTTTAAAATCTTTTATAGCAATGCATTGTCATCAGGATATCATTTTAAAAGATGCACTTTAACAATATCATTTGCTCATAATTCAATGCCAAGATAAAATTTCATTATAACTCGTTGATGCATTTCAGCCGATTTTGTTAAAGCTTTTCTTTTCTGTGTATTTTGTATTAGATTTATTTGCTATCACATATGTTTAAAATTGCAAGCACTTTTAAGTGAAATGATATCCATATGCATACAAATTTCTTTGTTTATTTATTGAGAAATGTTTCATAATCAACATCATCATCATCAGAGCTATCCAACGTCGCAATGATGATACCATTGCACACAGATTCAGATTATTAATCAAGCTTGTTTGTACAAGATTCCCTTGGTTTACGTCCATTATCCCACAGTAGTCTATATTCAATGCATCTGTCAAATTAGCCATGGCAACGGGACTTCAATAGGCCGGAAATATTGTACAACCTGGTACCAGGGTGGACCTGCGAGTATTCCCATACTAGACTTAATATTCTCCTAATTAGTACCGATTAGTAAGGTTGATATATAAACACAGTGTCTATACTCTGTCATCATATCTGACCTTACGCTCACCATTAAGATATTGATTACCAGTAAATTGGGTACTAAATTCACAGTAATTGCTGTATAATGTATACCGTCACATAGAATTGATATACGGCTTTAAATTTTACACCTCATTTCGCCAAAAACATTTTGATGCATTTAAAAACAAAATACGATAATTCATTCACCGCAGTGGTCACTCTTAAGAACTATAGATCAGCTATTCTAATGCCAGCATAATTATACTGAGTAGCAAGGTTGGTCAAGTCTGCTTTTTGTTATACAGAATTCTTTTTATAATCAATTCACGTTCCCACGGATCTTTCTACAACTTAGCATGCAGATGTTGAGCAGGTCTATGTAGGAAAAACGACACATGAATTTCTTACTTAAAATGCTATACATTGATGCATGTAATGACGTTTCATGAAAACACTTTGACTCCAAGACGAACCAATTTGTGATTGCAATATTGAAGACTTGCTTTTACGTTTTACCTCATACAACCTGTGTCTCAAACATTTTATAGTATATGAAATGCCATAGAAAAAGTATGTGTTTGGATATTTTATATATACGTTCCGAAAGAGTAAGCGTCTTTAGTTTCATCGAGGACACCCGCCATGTACATGTATATCTTGGTCAAAACAAGATAGTAATGTCACGGAGGAATATCTTAAACGAAATATAGCGAATTAAAAAGCAATCATATACAACATTCAAAATGATTGAATTTGAATTTCTATAGAAAAAATGGACAGAGTGTACTTTATCATTTAAATTAAATAGACACCATACAAAGTATCTTATTCATAAAGTACAATTATTATTTATCATAGATTCCAATTCATAGTCATTGTACCTTTAAAACAATAAGGTTTCTTCAAATATCAGTCGTCAAAATTTCAAGCTGTAAGACATCTGCTTTACTGCCAAATTGTTTTTTATTATGTGGATAATCCAGATCGTATCTCTCGATATCCGGCAGATATACTATACATATACACCCCCGTAGTGTATTAAGTTTTTTTTCAATATATTGTATAAAACCAGAATAATCTCGAAATTGTTCGTTCCGTATATTACAGTAACGGTGTATTGGAAGATTGTACTAAAACACCTGAGCGAATAGCACCTTTTACTACACAATTTAGAAAAGATACACACACGCACACACCCTAGTACACCTTCGCACACACACACACACACACACACACACACACACACACACACCCTCACCTACACCCACTCACACACACGCCACCACCACACACTCACACACATCCCCCCTGATATCGTAGTTTAAAAATGAATCTTCAATATGCTATTAGCGAAAGGTTTAAGCTCATTCAAGTACCTGCTCTTAATCAATGATTTCAACGATGCAGATATTTATGGCTTTAACCTAATTTGTTATGTAGCACTTCATCAATGACGTGGATATTGTGGAGGACCCTAAAAGCCAGTTCCGATTGAAACCTTTTAAAACTATGATACTATTCACACTTCAGTTCAGGTCACACTTTCTATTGAAGCACATAGAGCTTATTTGTGCGTCATTTTTCTCAGAAAGATTATATTGGTGAAACCTGAATTTCATGCCCGATATATTTGGAACATTACACGACGTCATATTTTACCATGTGTCACGTCATTTATGAATGAGCTATTTCCTATTTACCGTCTATGATGTTTATGAGCATCCAAAGTCCAACCCACCGGACAAATTTTCAGGGAGAAGTTTTGTTGATGATTAAGCGATAGAAAGCAAGTCTTTCAGCACTAAATGAATTGTTTCCAAGACTTTGACAGATACGTTTCCTGTGTCTTGCCTGTTGCACTGCCTTGTCTCCAGTGGTGCTTAGCGTGGTTTGTCCGTGTGAAAAATAACAAATGGCCTATCGCTTTACCAAAGGATTGTGATACATAACACACTTTAATGGTTCATTGTTTTTTCAAAACATATATTTATGATGGGTTTCCTGGTCATTTGAAAGGGAACCTAGATCGATATCTATCAGAAGCTTCGCCGAGAGCATGTTATTCCTGATTGGTATCAAACGCAGTAACGCCGTCGATTACAAGGTACATTAGATTTCTATTATTGATAGCATGCTCGGCCAATGTACACGAGATGGTCACGATAACTCACTGATAATAACGATGTACACGAATGCACCCATTGTCTTTGAGTCTGATCAGAGATGGGCATTGCTCCATCAATAAGTATAGTGAGGGTATCGGGATCACCGCGTGTGTACTCTGCCAATAATTGAACAGTTGATATACATTATAATACAGTATATATAGTGGATTTTAAAACTAACTATACTTACAAAATATATATTATTCACACTTTGCCAACTATTCAATATGGCTGAATTTGGTTATTCTTTCAGACTGGCGTGGTGGAAACGGCGGACAAGTTGTCAGTATGGACGGGTCACTGCCACGACTTGGCAATTTAATCTCTGTACCAAAGGAGCCTAAGGCAAGTCGTGCTTCTCTGCCCCTCAATCTTCCACCAGTGAACGTGTCGCAAAAAGTATCTGCTGGGAACAATACGCTGCTAGGTTCCAAAGAATCAGAGCAAAGCATCACAAAGGCCAGCACTGAAGACACGCCAGCACGTGTTAAAATCAACTACCTTGCGCGTGACAAGGCACTATCAATTTTACAACAATACAATTCTATAGTTGCGGATGACACGTCACTCGCAGTAAGGAACCTACCGCCTGTTAAGGTTTCCATTCGCGCGAAAGGTTCCAAGCCGGAAAAGCGTCCGTCGGATAGGCCCAACGCCAATAAACAAACAGCTCCTGTGTTCACGGAGGGTATCAGCTCAATAAGTACGCGTCAAGGCCCGTCATTTCTGGTTTCCAAGGAGAGTGTGCTACGTGCAAATCTACCAGATGACGTTTCACTAGCTCAACATAACAATCAATTCGCATTCAACATCAAACAGAAGCGGCGAAAGCACGTAGTTAAGGATGGGGTCGGTACATCCCAATACAAACAGCTGAAAATGCTTGGATTTGATAGCTTACCTCCCGTTGATCTTGGCGAATACATGAGGAAACAACTACTTCAGAAAAAGAGCGGTAGTAAAGGTGAAGGACAACATATTAATATGTCTGGTAAGTCTAGCTACGGCTCTTCGTCCATACGTAGATTTGACAAACAAAGTGTTGGATCATCAGTCAGTGCCACTCCAGACACGTATCGAAGTGGACGACAGGCTCTGAAAACTTCTTTGAAGTCTAAGGTTGACACCAGATTAAAACGTAAAAATCCAACGAAAGTAAGTCCGACTTATCAGGGCAGCAATTACCGCGGTGATAGACTTAATATCGTGTCTATAGGACAAAATAAGTCCAGTCTTCTCGATAATTCAAGCCCAAGACGGTTCGTACCGGGGACCTATCCCCAATTCGACTGGCGGGCACGTGTCCATGAGGAGTACAGACGGTTGAAATTTGTTCCAGTGGACCCGTCTCTTAATGGTGTGTGTTCTTTGGCCCCAATCAAGGTAGGTCTTCACCATCAAGAGCTCCCTCCTCTGAACTTTACTGACGATGTTCCAAAACGTTTTTCTTCGTATGATGGAGTGCGGCGAATATTTCGCGATGACGTATTCGGTGATAAATCCAACCCTTTTTATAGACGTAATTTGTACAATCGAGCAATCGGGCGGGTAACATCTGCTAACAGCACAAGTACCAGTACTAGCAATTCTAACCATGTGATCAACCCACCCCCTTCTTTTGTGTCTAGTAGCGATGATGAAACTTGGCCAAAACAAGTGGAAACTATCCGGGAAATGCAGCCCTTGAAAGAGGAAAACCCTTCAGTAGTAAGTGAACATGCACCGACATCTAAACATGCAGATTTGTTAAAAACCAAAAAGCAAAACAGTCCAGTGTTGACTCCGCGGGAAATAGTTGAAAAAAATCGTGTTGCTAAACCCCGAAAACAACAATCAGTTGGGAATGTTGTTACCTTGGGGACGGATCTAGCCCCTGTTGTTTCTGAGAACAAATCTTTGACAGTTCCCCCAGGAGGATCAGGTTCCCTCCCCTATCAAGGGGGAAATGGTTTCTTGTCACCACCGGTCGTATCAATGATGAACGAAGCTCGACCACCAATGATAGGGGAGAGTGAAGCCAAGCAGAAACGAAACGGGGAAGAAGAAGACTCTATGTATAGCGATCCCTCCGCAGATTCTAATTCACAGAAAGTCACAGTTCACACAGTTCAGCTGCTACCGGACCAAATTCCCGCTAGACCCAACGTGACCTCAGTTACACCTGTCATCAGTGTTACAAGCGATTCAGGTGTTAACGAACCCGTAGTGTTCAGAGATTCGGACTCGGAAGATTCTTTTGGTGCGTACAACCGCAAAATGGCACTTACTAGTAAGAACGTGCAGTTTGTGTCGCCTTTAGATCCTGGTCAAGGTGTTGCGAAAAGACAATAACGATTCATGTGTCAAAAATCTTTGTCATGATGATTTGTGATTTATATTGTGTTTTGAGTCGAGATGCAGTTTGACCTGATCACCATTACGAAGTAACCATTCTAGAACCGGGTAAGGTTGATTTGTAAATCTGCTTTCATGTATTTTAAACATATTGAAACATTATGGCTGGCATTTTTGTTTAAAACTTTATTAAAAGTACATTTTCAATAAACAGAATTTCAAAATGATAACTATGACCAATTTGAACCCAGCATATTTCACAATTTGTTTTTTTTTTCTTTTTTTTTTTTGATAATATCCAGTTAAAGAGAAGCTAGAAGCGATTCAAAACGTTAAGAATTTGAAATGCATATTGATATATATATATATATGTCGTAAGTAAAAATGAAAACAGTCCTGTGAGTGAACGTATTCTAAATATCATAAAAAGACCTTTAGAATCACGTTGAAATACTTTTGATATGGACAATAAATTGTTATTGAAAGGAAAATCTAAAGCTACGAAACGCAACAATATTTTAGCTGAGATATATGCGCAAGAAAATGTTACTTTTTTGTTTATTCTAAAATATCTCGTGTGATCCTTTTACATCCAAGTACATTGTATTGTTTTCTTCGACAGATCACATTGTTTACTTCCACAGCTAGACAAATATATATATATATATTGGTCAGACGTTCAGACAGACGGATTTTAAACAAATTTAGTTCAAAGGTATATGATAACCCTTACACCATTCTCAAGTCTACTTGTAAAATCAAAACGTATTCTCAATAGTAATTCAAATTTCAAAATGTACATAAATACCACAACTCGTTTTTAATGTATAAAGTACTTTACATGTATGAATTTACGGAAGAGATTGAGTTATAGGTCGAAACATGATACTAAATTTTCAACACCGAAAGAAGTTATTTCAGATTATGTTGTATAACATTAAGACTTGTATAATTATTTACATCCTTATATATTCCGTCCACTCGTGTTCACTCTATGTTATCGATTGTATATAGTTTCATGTTCCATATCTAAACCAAAGCCTTGGATAATGTTTGTAATCATAAATGATTATGATGTGTATTGTTAATACAGGATTTGACCTAAATAGTTTGTGTATCAGCGATCATGTTACGGTTTTAAGATATGTATCTTTACATCTGTTCAACTCAAATCGCATTATGATTATAACCCGTTCAGTGATCGGGAGATTTTACTGTAGAATATGTGCCACACTGCACTTTAGAACGAGTCACCGTTCTGTGACGAAAAGCACACAGGTGGAATAATAGTTACACGTTTAGTGGTTTACATACACATACGTACCAACAGGACACTGACCGGCGCAAGTCATCCCGACAGGTTATATATACCTGTACCTATGTGTACGTAATGCTGATTATCTGAATAAGGCAATGACCAAATATCTGAGGTCTGAAAGTCCTTGTACAAAATGCATGGGATTTCGAATTACCGATTTATCGTTTATTTTTTCCCAGCCTTAATGATTTAACTTGGCATATCTTAAATTCCTTGATAACAATATTTCGATATTGTTCTTAACTCACTACTGTCGTCTTATCATCAATGTGTTGTTTGGTGCTCATATTTTGATGTCAACCACACGATAAATGACTTGCCGAGAAAAATTTGATGATTCGTGAGTAAAAGTTTCATTTGATATACGAGATGTATATGTTCTACTCATTGACTTTACTAAACAGCAATTTTGTACAAAAAAAAAAAAAAAAAAAAAAACATTCTTTTGGTTTTAGCAGATGAAGCTAACCAGTTCATGGGGACGAAGTTAAACAATACAAAAAGTAAGCTTCATGTGAGTCATTGTCTACAAATATCTACATAATATGAATAAGGGCCCGACTCAACATTTCCAATAAAAAAATATCCAGCCAAGAAATATGCAGTAAAATTAGCATTTGTTGTATTCATATCAGTCTGTGTTTTGTTGTCTTCTATGTCTGTACACGGTATCAAAAGTTATCTAAATGAGCATTATGATTATCAGGTTGTAAGATATTACGACAATTGTTGAATGTCATAAAATGTTTCCATTATTTGCAATTAAAGCAATCAAAAATTCGCCACCTTGTTCTGAATTAATTAAAATGAATGCATCAGATAGACACGTTTTATTTGATAACTGTAGTACTGAAGGCACAAGTGAGTTGAACAGATATTACTTAGTGAATCACATAAAAGAATGTCAAGAAGACAGAGTTAACAATACAGTGATGCGATAAGCTTGATGTTCCCCTTTACTTCACGTTTTGGATTTTCAAATATAACAGCGATAAGAAATGTATTTATTTATTGGGGTAGTACACCTCCTCATCTTTTCTATATTTCTATCGATCACATTGGATTTTTTCAGTCACTTTCTAGGCTTCGAAATTTAGGTCCTTGCATCACTGACGAGTCCTACAAGGATAAAACAGCTGTATGGTACAGTTTAGTTTATTCTTTAGGTCTTCTGTATTTAACTCAAAAAGGTGATATTTTCTTGTGTCTTCCGTTTCATCTTTGCAAATGCGACACCACAACTGTCTATCAACAAATGCATTGAAACGTCAACAAAAAAGGAAGGACAGAAATTTAGTTAAAAAAAATATATATATATATATATATATATATACTCATTTATTTTTGAAGATAGAATCTGATTTGGATTGCCTTTTCAAGGGTCATATAAACATTCCCCAAAAATTTAAGCTTGATTACAAAATAAATTCTATAATAATGATAATTTTTCTATTTGGTTCATATATTTCATGCAATGGAGATTGTTTGAGATTTTCAATGTACAGATGACATCAGCATGTTGATTAATGTCTTGTTAACTTAATGATTAACAATAAAACGTCATTATGAAAAAAAAGATCTTTTGTTAAAATTGTACTCTTGGAATTATTGCCAAGCTTTTGCTTACTTGTTGGAGTAGATTTCGACATTTGGATAAGAATTACAAAACGACAAGTACAGCGGCCCCTTCTAGTTTTAGTATCAGAACTATCTCACATATTTTCCTATGAACGTCTTGCAAGAATCTTGAAAACGCTAAATTTCAGGAATTTTTTTTTGTTTATAATTTTTGGCTTTTTTTTTTGCGATTGACGGCTGTCAAATCAAACTTAAACATTTTTGAAATCATTTTTCTTATCATCCCACTCACATGTCATTGTAAAGCCCACATCGAAAATTGAAAAGAAATCTTGTTATTCACAAAACTTTTTCACAACATATTCTTGCATTAAAAAAAATGTTGTGCCATATTTTGAAAAAAAGAAGGTTATGTCATTTACCTTTCGAAAAAATCAATACCGGAACAAGAGTTTTCAAAAATGTGTGGCGCCTGGGTTTCACACATCTTTCAATGCTTTAAATTTCTAAATGAGTGTTCCGCTCTTTTATTCTGATTTGATGCGACATTTAATCGTATTTACAGTATCTATTTGAAGCCTTGACTTTAAAGGATGTTAGCCATATATTGACTAGACAATGTTCACAAGTGAACGAACGAATAAAACGAGATCACGCACAAGCTGACCACGGTAAGGTAACGCTTGTGTTCTATAGAGACTAATACAGATACAAAAATAGGAGATAGTTTGTATTTCATCTTTCCCTAGGGGGTGTGATTCTCTATTTATGGAATTTCAGATCTTTTGTGATATAATAAGATTGCGCGTGTTAAATGTTACAATTCCTTTATATAGGTAGCCCGCAGTGTATTATCTGTTGTCCTGGTAACGCAGACGTCATGGGAATCGATTCCCGTTATCTATTTCGATATACAACAATAGGTGCCTTGTATACGTATGTATGTTTGAAAAGCTACAATTAATTAGGTTTTTTTCACCATTCATTAATATTTTAATTAAACACGCTATAACTTGATAGACTTGGTGAAGGACCTCTTGGTAAGTTACTAAACTGACCACACATTTGGAGATGACGTACAAGTCGATTGCCAATTGCGGACTAATTACACTTTTCAAAATCAATCCAGCCAGCAATAAAAAAGTTTGTCCAATAGATAATAGATATAAATCATACATAAAAAGAAAGAAAAACACTTCTGAAAGCATAAAAGGTATCAATGTTCGGGACAACCTAATTAATTATCAAATGTCTATCACTAGAAGCAGCTGGTTACACTTCAAATATAGACCTTACTATGACGTATATCCAAACCTCAATCCTCATTTGCGTATCTACCATATGCTCCAGATACGACTGACCTGTTATTAGCCGTTTCTGAGATATGTCGGTGAATCAGACATTCGAAACATTTACAGATATTTTTTTTATGAATTTGTAGACATTATCTTATCGTTGAAACCTCGCCTCTCTTAGAATTTTTTTTTTGGCGTTATATATATATATATATATATATTTTCGTGAACTGTATCAAAAAGGGACAATGTAGAATAAGAAAGATTTACAGACTATCATAGCCTCTCGTTACATGGAATAGTTTTTGCAACTGCATTGCAACCAGACAAAATCTTCGAACCATTTAATAGCTCACATTGGCCATCATTCTTCAACAGCTCATACACCGACAATAATTAAGGATATTTGCGTTTCATGAAGACGTGATGATTTCCATCTCTAATTCCCATATCAATCGTACAATTATAAGGTATGGTATTGAAATCTATGATATAACATGTATTTTACATACTATACAAATTTCAGGTGTATTCCCGAAACCATACCGATCTAATTACTTTCCATTTTCTCACTTTATTATCATATTTTTTTTTGTTTGGGGAGGGGAGGGGAGGGGATGACTTCACACTGGCCCACTTCCGGGGCTTCGCCCTCTGACACATTTGCAGAGAAGCCTTTTGAGCTCCTATTCTATACCCGTCGGAAGGCGTACATGTCTATATCGCTTGCTTACGTGCCAGAGAGGTATATCGAAGTTAGGTAAAAGGTATATTTCTTTGATATACTGCGAGAAAAGAGCACAGAA